TGAAGCATTAGAATTGGTGTCATAAGTCACATACATGTATAAAAATAAAATTTATATAGAGATTTTCATTCTTTTCAACCACATTTGCACAGCGAGAAGTAATGGAAAATCTATATACATGTACATGTACTGTACCACACATGTTTTAACACGTACATATCGAACACGTTAGTATGTTCAATATGTGCATTTTAACACCTGCATTTTCTTATATTTCTCGCTGTTAAAATGTGATTGGAAAGAATAAAAATAAAATGGGGGAAATTTTAATCTTTGGGAATGTACACAAATTATAAGAAAATTATTTAGGTTTAGCCAAGGAATCAATTATGAACATAACTTAAGTTTTTAAAACTAGAAAAAAAAATCATTAAAATGTGTTTAAAAAGGATGTCATTCAACTTTAATTTATTCCATCTTTCTCAATGGAATAATCATCCACGTTTGAAATAGTTTATTTGGTTTTAATATGGGATGCTGACATCATAAAACATCATGTACGCGAAAACGTGTTCAACGTAAATATATAGAAAAACGGTCTCCAAAAATAAATACAAGGCTAGGCAGGATATAGAAACCAGAAAACATGTAAAAAAAAAAAACAAACAAACAAAAAAACAACAGTATTGATAGTTCCTGCAATTATGCTTCTAAATAATAAGTTATTGTTGAAATACCGGTTATCGATTCTGCAATTGACTTTTAAAGGAATTTATTTGCTTTGGCAATTCATTTTCATAAAAACATTAAAATAAAAATCAATATGTGTTTTCTTAGAATTAACCCGATTTAAAAAAAGAATCTTTTTCAATGAAATGGCATGTGTTTCTTCATCGATCCCAGTGTCATATTTGTTTATAACTTGCAAATACATTACATAATGGTGACCATGTCGACTAACGATAATCCCAACCGAAAATGACTATTACAACTGAACCATAACTAATTATGATTTACTATAGGTAAATCGAGTAAATACTTTGATTTTTTCATTAACCATTTAACTTTAGAACGTTTAAGAGATTTCGAAGTGTATGGTCTCTTACATTTGTTAGCAGTGATATAAAACTTTGAAATAATATGTGAATATACATGTACAAGTAGAATTTCAATTCAGTATCAAAAAAATGTACATGTATGTATTCGCTGTAGCAAAAATTGATTCTACAACAAACTAAAGTTTACTTTTTTAAAACTGAGAGCCATGTGTGTTATGATATAGAAAAAAAAAAAAAAAACAGAGACTACAGATTTAAAGTAAATATTTAGAATCGGACTTTAAGTCCTTTCTTTTCAATATATAATGTCGACTGGGGTTTTATTGTGTGAAAGCTACAATAGCGAAACTCTAATTTTTCACAACAACTATCGTATTTCGGGCAATACGAGTATTAGCGCGCTTCAAAAGTTGACATTTTTGGAAGATCAAAAAACGCAGAAATAAGCACCAATAATTCTTTCTACAGAGTTATCAGCTTTTAATAGAATTTGCCAATTTTTGTTTTGTGTAATTGGTGGATTGTGAATATGGGTAGATTGCATGTGATTAAATGAATGTACGTGGCGTTTTCCAAACACTCGAAGTTCAGGGAACCACTAGTACCGCAAAACACTTTGACAGGTCCTGAGAACAAGGGTTCATAAAATTCATCGCTATATTTCACGCTGATAAATAAATATACATTCATGCATAAAAAAATTATGACTGAGTTTTTTCATACTAATTGTTAGGCCATTATTTACGTACTGAATTGTCTACGGATTTTTTCGGTTTTTTTTCCCCATCGTGACAAGGAGCACACGGCGTGTGTGACTGGTCGACAGGGGATGCTCACTCCTCCATGGCACCTGATCCCACATCTGCTTTTCAGAGGTCCCTGTTTGCTCTGCTCCTGATTTGTTTTGTTTCAATGGCCTTTTGAGTTTGAATGCTTTTCAATATCTTCATATTGCACTTATCATAGTATATTTGTAAAATTTTCAGAAATACTTGAAAATTAAAAAAAAAAATGTTTTAGCTAAATTGTGCTTCCTTTAGGATTTATTTTTCATGAAAAATGTTATTGCCGTGCAAACACTAAAGTAAGAAAATCATATACAGTATATGTATCTAAGTCCTTATTCCTTTATTTTTTTCTTTCTACGTTATTGTTAAAATATTTAACTTTCTTCTAATGCTTCCAGTGCATTGAATAATCATTATATCGGAAAATCAATCAGTGAATCTATACAAGTGACTTTAAGTTATATAAACATCCAGTAAACCCATTCTGATATAACACCCAGGTAAGGATTAACACATCATTGATATATAGGAACTGACACGCATGTAATAAAGCTTGATGGCATCATTTCTTATGATAAAGTAACATGTAGGGGTCGAACTAACTGCAGTTAGAAGGGGAGCAGCCAGCCTCTCAGTAAAATTGCGATTTTTGATTAAGGAGGTTCGATCCTGATTTTTAAAGTCTTAAACTTTTCTTTAAACCAGTTTAATTATCATCTTTAATCACTTTACTTAAAATCTAACCACTTTTGAATGGGTGTTTATGCGCTAAATTTTGAAATGTGGTGCTTTATAAAGAGCAAGGATTTGAACGGTGCATTTTTTAATAATTCCAGTCCGGAAAATCTGTAATCCACCTTTTGATCCATATGAAATAGATAAAATGACAGAATACCCAATAAAAATTATTTAGTTTACATCATAAAATGACACTCAACCAAATATGATGCATTTTGACTTTTGTCAACCCCCAACAGAAAAATTTATTCAATAATACCAACTTACCCCCTACATTTCTTCTGCATCATTTTTGGTACACTATAGTACCAATTAATACAGTTCTAGAAAATAATTAAAATGTCTTAAACTTTTTTTTATACACTGCATGTAGATAACATATAAGTTGCTTTGTAATATGAAATAATGAAACATGGGGGTACATGATCATTTTTTTGAGTTAGCCCGAATTTTCTGTGATTAACTTGAATTTCCTCTGACATTTCCTTCTATAAGGAATATGAAGACATTTGATCTATACACACTTACGAGATACAGTTTATTTTACTTTAGAATGTATCTTTAAATGGTATATACTAAATAGATGAAAGTTATTCAAGATTCAATCTGATTCATATATACTGTTCTCATGATACTCAGCTTGAATTTCCTCTGTTAATATTCAACACCTATACGTACAGATTTCCTTTTTTTAACCAATATAATTGGCAGAGACAGACATTTTTTTAACATGATACCTTTTCTTGAATTAAAGCATCTGAGTGAGTATACTTCCAAATTCTGTCCACCAATATTTCTTCAGAAGTAAATGCATGTATAGCTCCAGTATAATCATGAGGGACATGTATATGTTAATATATATGTACAGTTTCCAATGTCTTTGTCTGAGATATTATTATGACCAGGTAATATCAGTTACATAATTTTGTAGTGACTGGGTACGGGGTGATACCTGGTTAGTAAATTTTATACCTGGTTAGGCGAAGATCAAGGACAGGATAATAATTAATGTAAATATAAGGATTAACTGTGTATTTTTTCAGCTTTAAGGGTTCCTAATTGTTTCTCATGTATATATATATATATATATATATATATATATATATATATATATATATATATATATATATATATATATATATATATATATATATATATATATATATATATATATATATATATACATGTCCTTGGGACAATGTAATATCTATATATTATATATTAACAATATATAAAAAAAACAACAATATGTGTGCAATTCAACTAAAAATATTTTGTATTTTGAAGAAGAATTCATTAGAATCACAATAAACAAATTAAAGTCCTTGTAAATGTACAATTTTACAATGCCATCTGATATTTACAAGAACTGATATTGAGCTTGTTTTAGTCATATTTCAATTTGATAAATATAATTCAGCGACATTTCTCTTCAAGCTTATACAGATGAACAAGTATAACTGTAACAATCACATTATTTACCACATGATACCAGATGTATTTTACCTCAGATTATGCAATATTTATAGCATTGTAATACATTACATCAATCTTATATATGTAATAATAAAAATTTTCTCATAAAAAGAGATACACGTACCTTAGTTAACCTTTCCTAAGTGATATTCTTCCTTTTGCAAAATTTGAAATCATTATTTTGATTCTCAAAGAGTACATATACAAAATGCAATGGGTGAGATGATGAGCTTGTCCACCTGAGCTGAAGACTCATGTGAGCTTTTCTGTCTGGTGTCTGTCTTCATTGTCATTGCAATCGTCGTCATGAAAACTTTTCACAATTTCATCTTTGCTGCAAGAACCACAGGGCCAAACCTGACCAAAATTGCCCCAAAGCATCCTTGGGAGAAGGGAGTATACGAATCTTCAAATGAGGTCACACTCTTTTTCAAGGGGAGATAAATAAGAATGAATGAACTAGAATCCCTGGATCAGAAAAGTTAAATATGTGAAGACTTTATTTAGTGTAGACTGACCATTCAAGTTTGTTCAGATCATAACCCAGTTGGTGTAGGGTGGGGCCGCAATGGGTGTTCAAAGATTTACATAGGAATTAATGTACAGGAAAAAAATCTTCTCAAGAACAGCAAAAGCATGAATAGTCATATAGATATGGAAGCATCCTCAGGAAGTGTAGATTTAAGTTTGTTTAAGTGATGACCATCTGAGGTAGTGTGGAACCACAATAGGGAAAAAATCTGCTCATAAAGATCGAAATGCAAGGTCATAGTTACACTTAGGTAAGAATAGTGGCCCATGGGCCTCTTGTAATATTATTAATATTATGTGAACTGTTATAAAGAAATGGGAAGAAGTCAACAAATAAATGTTTACAGTTGTATGGAAGAATCACTTCCTGAAATCTTACATCAGAACATGTGCATTAAAAAAAAAAAAAACATATGTATTAATCACAGTAAACAGGTAGGTTAGAATATAACAATAGCTAGATACAAAGTTAACTTTCTCTCAATGATGCAAAGTAATTAACAAGTTTGACAGTAACATTTTTTGACTTTGTAACTCTGACAGACTTCCCACTCTGTTCACTGGACAAAGAATAGATACCCTCTATTGGATCTCGAGTGAAAGCAAGTTCAAGATGTTTGTATTGTAATCCACTACCTGCAATCTTTTTAGCAATTGGACAGCTGATGATTTTCTGGTTGACTAAAGGTTGTAATGATGGTAAATTAACTTGCACAACATTTGAATACTTGTAAAAATCTACAGCACTTGCAGTTGTAAAGGATGCTGACCTGCAGTTGGCATTTGCATTCCCTAGACCAATATTTAGATGACTTATCAAAGATTGGAGAGAAAGAACATCACTGCTAGCATCATGTGCATCATAATCTATACCTGCAAGGTTTTTACATAAAAATTCCTGTCTGTAAGATGAAAGACCAGGCCTCTCCATTCTAAAAAAATTTAAAGTATCAAAAAATCCTTCAACAATGTTAGAAAAACAGTCTAACTTTTTGCAAGAATCTAGAGCATACATTAGAATGGGACAGTCAAACGACTCAACATTGTGTCCCACAAGAACAACTCTTTTTTGAAATTTTTTGAAGAACTTTAACAGCATATCAACTGCATTTGATATAGATGTAGCATCAACTTTCTTGCCGTGGTGATACATGATCCCATCCTTGATGGATATACCAGTGACATTTGTGGACTGTGGGCTTATGGGCTTCCTCGGATATACAAAGCAACTGAATTGTTCATCTCCAGCTGCAGCTGCTATTTGTGTGATGTGGGAAGTCCTGGCTGTAAAATGACAGAACAGTCAAAAATATAACCTGGGAATGTGTCATTAAAAAAAATCACTGAAGTTTAATGCTTGTACATGAGTATTTCCGACATACATTTCACATAATTTTATGATCGACACACTCCTTGGTAAATACCTAATCCAGTTGTTTCCAAATCGAAATAAACTGGGACATATTCTGGTGACAAATGTACTGGCTCTCGGGTTGGAAATGGAATGGGAGGAGGAATTTCTGTAAGGTCTGGCTTCTCTCCACATATATCAACCTCTGAGGCATATGTTATTCCCTCCCTGGTTTCCTGGCATGCACTTTTTTGTAACCTAAGAAAGAACATAACATGTTATGCTCTTATATTTACATTAAATATGTATTTTCTTGTAAAATATATGGAAAGCTTCAGCATATAAAATACACTAAAACACGGATGTGGAAGACAAAAGGTTAAGTTCTTAATTTTATTTTGTCCACCAGAATTAATTAAAAAATATGCAAATTTTAATACATATGTCAAAAATGGAAAGAAATAAGATTTTGTACTGATACATGGTATATCAAATTACTAGTAATATCAAACCTCTTGGCTTTTAATTCTAGTCTTCTCTTCTTTGCAACTCTTGTCATGTCCAGTGCCTTCCTTTTTCTATGCTGCAGATCTCTAAGTACAGCTAATCTTTGGGTGTATGTACCAGGAGATAAGCCAGTTCTTGCATTAACCTGGAATGGTTTATTCAAAGAGATAAACAAGCAGACCTGCACCCTTTGTTACACTATGACAAAAAAAATATAAAAAAAAAAATAATATCATAAGTTTATATATATATTCATCATAGTATATATATTGTATATACACACCGATATATATATATATATATATATATATATATATATATATATATATATATATATATATATATATATATATATATATATATATATATATATATATATATATATATATATATATGAACTTAAAGCGAAGGTTAAACTTTCTCATATCCAAATCAAATATGTTAATTAGAACCCAAAGTAAAGTCTTGTCTTGAGGAATATACCTGTGAAATATGTAAGCCCTAGAAGCAATCATTGAAAAGATACGGAAATTTAAAGGTTAAAGTTTTTCGAAAGCAAGTCAAACATCAAGGTCGAGGTAAAAATTATGCTTCTCACAATAATACACGTGTGAAATATGAAAGCCCTAGCACCAACTGTTCAAAAGTTATGGCCAAGGTTAATGTTTTTCAAAAGTAGGTCAAACTCCAAGGTCAAGGCCAAAGGGTCAAAGTTGTTGGTATCCCAAGTAAGGTGTTGTCTCAAGGACAAACAGAGAGATGGACGGACGGACAGGGCAAAAACTATATGACCCCGAATCTTTGATTTCGCGGGCATAAAAATTTACAATGTACATTTCTCCACAATTAAAGAATATTAATCATACCTTAGAAACATATATGTGGCCAATGTTTTTCTGGGCAACAGCTGCCGATACTCTGTACCCAAGACATGCCGACCCACTAAAATGTTGTTTCTTTGGAGCTTTTGAGGCTATCGTATTATTTAAACTCTCATTAGCTTGTGTGGAACCTAGCTGGGCAATTTTCTTGCGGTGGATTTTGTATTTAATAAAAACATCAGCAAGAGCTCTCTGAAGATTTCCATCTGTTAGACACCTGCCATATGGTAGTTGTTGGTACGGCTTTTTGGGGTCTTGTCTATGTACGCACCAGTCTGAACAGGAAGAATGGTCACCAAATGGATGTTTCCACATTGCATCAAGACCAACTGCAATTCCCTCTGGGTTGTTCTTGTTTTGGGAAACCATGTATGCCCAGCACTTTTGAATGTATCTGTAAGTACACATTTATGTTATATTGTAAGAGGTTACTGATTCAAAATAATTATATAAACACAATGTATGGTCTTCCAGATCAAATACTGGCCCGATGAGATGGCCAATGCAAGTGGTCAACTACAAAGCTTCATGAAATTCTATTGAGTGGTTTCCAAGGAGTTGCATTAACAAGAACAGGACTGACGAATTGGCCAATAACATTATATCCTCTACAATTTGTTGCATGGGTTATAATTATTGGATATATAAAGATAAATTCTTTCCAAGCCTTGTGGATCTTATCTCTGCACTAAAACCCAGGTAAACTCCCAGCCAAGTGCACTATACCTCCCTAGTTTGAGGTTGTGATGAAGCAAACAATTCATATCATTTCCTATGTAGCTTGTAACACAAGATTTGATTGGTTACAAAGTCGGGTGTAAATTTCCGTACACCCGACTTGGACTGGGGGTAAAATCATGACGTCACAATGCATAGTTTCTCTATGATAAAAAGCAAATAACATGATGTCAGGATTCATTGTAGGACATAGTAAATCTTATCGATAGCTTGAAACACAGTTGATTGGACTTGTTTTAAAAAGAATTTATTTGGGTACATAGGAAATAAATTTGTTATCCAGATCCATTTACTCTGGGTGTATGGAATAAAACTCGGGGTAAATCCCTGTACACGCTTGATTGGATCTGGATAATTAATATTATACAGTACTGAAAACCTCACCTGATTACTCTGTGTGATAAAGTTGGATAAGTGCGCTTCAGGAGGTAGAGGCTATTTGTTAGGTTCTTTTTAATATGGTTTTTGTCTGATCTTTTTTCAATATTCTGGTCGACTGTCTGGTGTAGTTTGGAAATAGTAGATGTATCATCGTCACCAACAATAGCAGCTGTACATGTATGTATGCCCTCATCCATTTTCTTCTTCACCATTTCTACAACCATGTCCTGTTCCATTGCTTTTGCACTGCCTGTTTAATTAAATAACCAAAGATTAATTTGTTGGATATTAAAAAAAAGGCAAATACATTGAATACCAAATGTTCAATTCATGCATTAAATGGTGTGTAAATTGAAATAGATGCATGTTCCATCTATGTTAATTAAATTGATTTTTTTTCATTTTCGTTCATTTTTACCATTCCAATTTTGTCTGCAGTCATGTGGTCTAGGAATAGTTCCACTTTTAGAGGCATTACTACAAACACGACATGTCTTGTTACGAACACTGTAGCCAACTACCTTTCCTGTTTGTGTCCCAATCATAGTTGCATGTCCTGCAAATAACAGATAATTCCATAACAAATACATGTATAATTATATCCCTACATGATATTTAGTAATATTTACTGTACATGTACATCCTTTTAGTTCAAAGTATGTACTGGTTATGTTAATTTATTTGTTTTCACCATCTGAGGATGGTTTCATATAAATATGACCAATTTAGGACTTTTCTACTCTTGAGAGAATGATTTTTATAGATTGTTTCCCATGTCAAAATTTAATTGCCTTTTGTGGCCACACCCTACCCCCAGGGATTATGATTTAAATCAATACTATGTACTGAAGCTTTCACATATAAGTTTCATCTTTTCTGGCCCAGTGGTTCTTGAAAAGAAGATTTTTGAAATATACCAATAAAATTCCAATAATTCCTAATTATCTGCCCTTGAAAGGGCTTCATTTGTAGTTAAAATTGGCTCAATTTAATGGAGAAAAGTCGAAAATGTGAAAAGTTTACAGACAACACACAACAGACAGAATGGCACTTTTTGATCAGGAAAGCTCACTTAAGCCCCTCAGCTCAGGTGAGCTAACAAGGATGCTAACTTTCCATAAATATTGATTCAATTCAAATGACCCAATAAAGTAGAGAGAAGCACTTATATAAAGGGGGCATAAAAGTCAATATGACTGGGCATTTGTAATCTTTGATATACAATGTCACTACAATTCTACAATGTACAATTTTGGATCAGTACCGGTATATAAATTTATATTACTAATTACCTGATAAACTGTCATATGCTCTTCCGCTTCCTCTTTTTTGCCACCCAGCATCTACCGAGACACATATATCCCTTTGACCAGTTTCTCTGAAAAATGGTTCTACATAATCATATCCTTGGCAAACACTAGTCATACATTTTAAAGCTATTGCAAATGTTTGGACAAATAATTTACAATATATATTTTAACCACAATATATACTGATATATATATATATATATATATATATATATATATATATATATATATATATATATATATATATATATATATATATATATATATATATATATATATATATATATCCAAAAATATTGTGGAAGAAAATATTCATTGTAAATTATTTGTCCAAACTTTTGGTAAGTTTTAATAAATTTTGGAAAATTTAAAGTAAAATGCATTCATTTTATATTTAATTTGCGCTCATTAAGAAATTGTTGTTATTGATTGCTTTAATTATTACCACCGAAATGAGTCCCCGAAGGGTATAAACCACACGGCATTGAATAATTGTGGTCACTCTGCACCATCTCCCCTTGTTTTGCCCTTTCCCATCTTCTTTTTGTGGAGGAAATCTTTTTTTCATCTCTCTTTCTTCGCTTCTCCGTTTTAAATACCATCTCAGATGTTTACACTGTTGCTGTCATCTGAGCATACGACACTTACGATATGTCGTAAAAGTTTCCCGCGCGTAAACAAAAACGATTTTTGCGGGGAAATAACAGCAATAACATTATTTATATTCATTACCAGATCAAATAAATTAATTCTTTTACCTACGTCATATTAACGAAACATTTATTGCGCATTACTTGATTACAACTTACTGCCCCAATTTACGGCAGTTGGAGTTGCGCGGTGAACTTAAAAATTACAGGATCGAACGTCGTTAAGAACAAAGGATATTCCAAGGAAAATTTGGTGCCCTGTTCCCTTGATTCCTCTCATGTGCTGCTGGTACATTTTACTAATACACACAACCAAAATAATTGATTATTTTAATAGCGGAGGAAAATTTGCTGAATTTCATTATCAAAACACCCATTTTTTTAAACTCACATGAGCTGAAAGCTCAAGTGAGCTTTTCTGATAACATCTTGTCCGTCTGTCTTTCCGTCTGTCTGAACACTTTTCGCATTTTTGACTTCTTCTTAAGAAACATCAGGCCAATCAAACTTGGACACTTGGGACAGGATTTTTGGCAACATTGGGCATTCAAATTTTAACATAAGAATATATAGAAATAATCTTGTCAAGCACTGCACAGACATGGTTTGTAATATTTACATATGTATAATGAAGCATCCTAAATTTATTTACATTCACAATTGTTTAAATCATGTCCCAAGGGTGGAGTTGGCCATCGAAGATCAAAGATTAACATATTAAGAATATATATTAAGGAAAAATCTTAAAGAAATCTTCTTGTCAAGAAAAATCGAAGCAATGAATTGTCATATTTATGGGAAAGCATCTTCAGATAGTGGTCATACAAGTTGATCAAATCATGTTCCGCGGGGGTAAGGTTGGGACCCATGTATAGGATTGGGGTCACAATTGGCAACCAATAATTTACATAAGAATATAGAGAGATGTCTTAAAAAGAACATCAAATATGATTAATAGTACTTATAAGAAAGCATTCTCACGCAGTGTAGATTCAGAACTTCAGGGTCAAGGTTACTTAGTTGAGCTATTCAGCACATGGGCCACTTGTTAAAAATTCCTCTGAAACGATAATATCATCAAGCATAATCGTCAAGCTGAGTATAAGATATTTTTATATTAGTTAGTTGATCTTAAATTAGTCCTTCAATAAAATGGAATTTCCGGAGGAAAA